GGTCAGGCCGCAGTTGGAGTACTGCATCCAGTTCTGGGCCCCGCACTTCAAGAGAGATGTGGCTAACCTTGAGAGGGTCCAGAGGAGGGCCACTCGCATGGTCAAGGGACAGCAGGGCAGGCCCTATGAAGAGAGGCTAAAGGGCCTAAACCTATTCAACCTCCACAAGAGAAGGCTGAGAGGGGATCTGGTGGCCATTTACAACCTCACCAGGGGGGACCAGCGGGAATTGGGGGAAGCTGTTCCCCTGGGCACCACCGGGAGTTACTAGGAATACTGGCCACAAATTGTTAGAGAGAAGGTTCAGGCTGGACATCAGGAGACATTACTTTACAATTAGAGCTGCCAGGCTCTGGAATGGGCTCCCATCTGAGGTGGTACTCTCTCCTACCTTGGGGGTCTGCAAGAGGAGGCTGGACAGATATTTGGCTGGGGTGATATGACCCTGGCACCCGTTCCTGCCTGGTGCACGGAGTCAGACCTGATGATCTGTTTAGGTCCCATCCAACCCTAAGTACTATTATAGTATGATACTATGACCAGAAAAGGTTCAGTGCCTGGAGGAGGGTCTGGTACCCATGAGGGACTAGGAACCTAGGAGTAGCCAGAATGGGCAAAGAGGGCAGAGACAGCAGCCTGAGCCCAGGAGGGGCTGGAAGGGTTGATGGCACAGGAATTGCAAGTTCTAGCAGTGGTGGAGACTGGTTCCCAGTATAGGCCTAGGAGTGGTGCTAATTGCTAACAGTTGCGAGGCATGGGTGTGGTGTAAGAGGCAATTGGAGCCATGTAACAAGCAGCATGGGATCACAGATTCCTGGGGCAGCCTCCCTTTCCACGGATCTAACAACAAGCTGTAGCAAGTGAGGTGAAGGGGAGCAAGCCTGGACGGTGAGGGCAGAATAGGGGCTGAGTGGCCACCAGGGGGTGTTGTGGACACCCCTGAGACAAGCACTTCTTAAAGTCAGTGGTGGGGGTGGGTGTACAAGGAGCTACTCTAATGTCTGTACTGCACCTGCTTCCATTATCTTAAAATCATTAGAAGATACTCTTAAAGAAAAGCATAGACTAAAGCCCTTTTATCAAACATCTGGCCCATTCATGGGATCCACCCCTTTGATCTGGGTCTTGGTCAACCCCGACAGGCCACATGAGGCTGGGCCAGCACATGCAGCATGTGCTGCATGTGGTGTACAGAACCGGCGCTGTGGGTGCTGCTCATGGCACAGTGGGGTAGTCCAGGGTGCATCCCACATGCAGTGCCTGAGCTGGACGGCCCAGTTTGATATCCCTGCTTTAAATTTTAGCAGCCCTGAATTCTGAGAAACTTAGATTATGATCTAGCTGATTCAAGATAGGGGCTGAACACAGTTGGTTTAAGTTGTACATAATTAATAAAAATGTGAGGAAAAAATTCTGTTGGCAATGGAAGAAAAGACCTTAAAATCTGAAAAAGTGTTAAATATCATTAAATAGAGGAGATTATTAGATCATTTTTACCCAGTTGAAGTTAACTCATGTACCCATAAACAGCAGCTTTGTTTCTATTTAGATTGAGTTAATAAACGCATTCTAAACTGCTGTATTTGTAATGGCAGCCATAATTTGTGTGCATTAGACTGGAAGTCTCAGTCTTACAAAGATTTTAATAGATCTTGTTCTTTTACAATATGAATGATAGAAAGGCAGAAACAGATGTTTTTCTGGTACTCAAGCACCAGTCTCACTGTCAATAAACTTTAAAGCAATATTAAATATGGCACCAGAATGCTTAGATCTTATCAGTTATCTTTCCTTTGGCTACACGCTTTTTATTACAAGTCCCTTTTTTTAGGAAAACCAGGGCCTTTTGTAGCTGCACAGCAAATAAATGCAATCTCCCACTGTTGAAATGTCATTTTTGTCATACCAGTCCTCTGAAAATCAAAGTGTAAGTAAGTGAGATGAAATCAGCTCTGCAAGGGACGTATATCTAATACCACTTTCTAACTTTGAACCTGTGAGGTAAATCTGCTTTACTGATAATTAACATTCCTCAGCTGTTCCTTGAAATTCCAGTTATCTATGGCTGAGGTTATGATGATATATATATTTGGTGCTGTAGGATCATGACACTTCTTGTAAGTAATTTTCTAAATGTCAAATGGATTTGTTGCTTTCTGTGTTTTCTGTAATATATTTTCATTTTTTAAACACATTTAAAACAGTTCAGTGGAACTTAAGGCATTTCACTTTTTCCCCTTAGTTTCTCTATTAACAATAAAATAATGTTAAATAGCTAATTTTAACTATAAACCAAACACCCTGAGGATTAAGTAACACAGTAAGTAATCTGATAAAAGCATATCATAATTTGTCCTCTTTTATAGCCCAGCCTGTGTACTACAGTTTATATAGGCAAAATCATTTTCTGCACTGCTGCTGGGTATTTGATTCAAACTGTATCCTGGTATGGAATTTGGTGGCATTTTTTAGGATTGATTCTTCACTCTGTTACATTGATCTTTCACTCCTGTAACACCCATTGACTTAAATTAGCATAAAGGGTTTAACAAATCACCACCCCTACCTTCATTTAGTGAACAAATAGGCAAATAAAAAATATACAGAGGTGAAATCCAGGATCTGTTAAAGTCGATAGAGGCATTTTTTTAAAAGTGTGTTGTTATTGTATCACAACTATATAATTGATCCAATAAAAGATACCACCCTAAGAAATCCTTGCCCCTTATGTTATTTTATTTATAATGTATGCATTGTAGTAGGTCTGCTGGTGCTTTAGCAATAAATTACATGCCTCTTCCTCCATGAGCATATAATCAAAGGGCTAGATGGGCAAAAGTAGATCTTCAGTGTGCAAACAGTTGACATCAAAAGGGTAAAGGTTAAAATGATCAGATTCTAAATGTTAATAGGGTTCACTATTTTTTAAACTAAAGGTCTGGTCTGGGAGATGACTGCAGGCAACTATGCAGAATTCTGGTGATTGTATTGAGACTCCTTCATGGAGCAGTAGAGTGCCTGTATGTATGGTACCTGTCAGTTGAACCATATTCAGTTGTATTCACCATATTTGTTTTAAAGGTCCATCTTTAAAAATTCTCTAGATATGATATAAATTTTTGTGTGCCTTACTGGTAATATATTAACTGTTAAACATAGAAAAATAGTGACCCAAATGAGGAATTTATTTGCAACTACTTCCATTCATTATACCTGTGAAATTGCATGATGATGTGCCCACAACTTGTATATGCTTTTAAGTGGATTTGTAACAGCAAATCCTATTGCATTCAACTTTGGGTTTGTCAATCTTGAACTGAATTCAAATGTGATGGAGTTTTTACTTTGCAGAGCACATCTGAGTGGTGTGCTTTTATTTTTCACTGATGTAACTCTTCTAGGTTGCAACTAAAAAGAAAGAAATATTGGGTGGGGGTGGGGAATCAGACCAATTTGTAAGATCTCAGTTTAATTTCCTAGTGAGTATTTCATACTAACCTAGACTAAGTTGTATAATGAAAAATGTGCAATTCTATTAATACTTTACCAAAAAGATGACCTGAATGACCTGAAAGCATTAAGGTCAGTAATGTTAACAATAAATTCTTTTTTTTTCCTACCTGGCAGTATCTTCATTTTTAATATCTAGGTTAGTGATTCTCAACCAGGGGTACCAGGTCCTTTGAAGGGTGTAACAAAGTGTGAGGAGATAAGCTAAGTAAATAAACTGTAGGCTCAGGATTGTCCCTAAACAATTCCCCACCCTAACTGCCCAGGCCCTCTTAAGCACTGTAACATATAAATTAGTTTTTGAAACTGGGTACCTCTCAATTCACAAGACTTATGAAGGATGCCTTGAGTCCAAAAATGCTGATACCCACTTGTTTAGAGCTCCTCACCTCTATTCTCTGCCATTGAGTTTAAAAGGTGACAGTGTGCCAGTGGGGTGCACTTTTATCCTGTTGCTTTTATTGATAAAAGGTGGCGAGTTATCCACAGATAGGCACTGAAGGAAATGGTTCATTTTTCACACCTCTTGAAAAATATTTAACCTTTAATTTCATGGAGCCTAAAGGAAGTTTCAGATTCCTTGGTAGTTTGAATGAAAACTCCTAAAGCCCAAAGATTTGATAAAAGAGTTTAAATGATCAGTCAGCAGAAGTAAATCAACTAGTATTTAAGTGTTTTGGGATAAGAGAGCAGTTGATGTTGTTAAGTTTTTGATTGTTTGAAGCTGTGACTAGTTCATATTTAGGGTCTAGAAGTCAAGGAAGTGTACAAGAGACTATAGTTAAAGGTTTGGTTTTGATATGATTAGTATTTTGAAGTAACTAGCAGGTGACTGGTAAAAAAAAAATAATAATAATAATAATTTTGGTTTTGTCCCTCAAGTTAGGTTGATCTATTATTGTGAAAGCAAACACAGATTTCCTCTTTGCTGGTAGACTTCAAGGATTGTGTACAGCATTCCTGAGATGACTAAGTAAGCATTTAGAGACTATGACTAAATAAACATGTAGACTCTTTATATAAATAATAGTGCCCATAAAGTAATATATGTGTATGCAGTAATATTGCCTTTTCTCTTCCACTGCTGCATGGATTGCTTGAAATATACAATCCTATATAATGTAAATGTCAGATATAGAACTTTGATCTTGGGTTAGGAACACATTAAGATGAGGCAAACCACATTTTTCTTTGTAAAGTTGGCAAAAAATATAAAGCGAGTTGCATATGCTCACTGCTCTGTATGTATTTGGCATATAAAACATTTCCCTTTTGTGTCAACAACTAATGAATGGATAAAAAGGATCCCAAAGCAACCTGCTAAAATCATTTGAAGCATTAATTTAAAATGTTCAAGTTGAGTAATATCAGAGCATAAATCAAACGGGAACAAGATTTTTCTCAAGTATCTATTGTGACTGGAAGAACAGAATTGAGATGTTTATCAGTGATTTATTTTCATCACCATCATACTGTCTTAACCATACGGTGGTTGGGGTCTTCAAAGCGGTGCAGTGTGTGTATAAATTGATGTACACCTAGAAAACATACAAGAAAAAAGTTTTGGGGAAAGAAACTCTATGATTGTGGGTTTTGGAACAAGTTTTAGCTGTATTGAAATAGGATAGCCACATTTCTTTTCATAAGTATAAAACTAACACCAACTGCAGAGACTTCCTCAGCCTGACTAAGGGTTTTTAAACCCAAAAGCTTGCAAAAAAAATTGTTTTCCAACTATTTAAGTTGGTCTAATAAAAGAGATCAGATTCACCCAAAGAACCTTGTCTGCCTATGTCCTTAGACCAATATGGCTACAACCTACACCCCTATAACAATTACACAGGCCTTCGTGAAGAAGAGATTCTTAAAACTTAATGCCACCTCTTCTTGTTGTATATTCTGTATATACTACATACACTACGAAAATAAATATGTAAAAAAAAAAAAAAAGTGGGCTTTAATTTTTTCATACTGAAGCTTCTTCTGTGTGTATTAAAACCCGCCTTATTTAGCATGAGTCCAAATATAGGGCTCAGAGGCAGCGATAAAAACCTCAAATGAACTAAAATTAGTTTCCCTAATTATAAATATATCACAACTTTTAAACCCAGCATAGTCTAACTTCCCAGGGTTTAGAAATATGTATTATGTCTCCCTTTGGGAAGCCTGTGAATCTGCCATTTTTAAAGATGTGAAGTTCCCATTCCTAGCCCCATAGATATCATACTGTAAACCTCTTACAGGCTGAAGCCTGAGAACTTCCCTTTCTTGGGCCTTAAAGTAATGTAAATGTGCATGAGGAAATTTCCATGGTAGAGGGGGAAAAAAAAAACCCATTAATGACGGCTTAAATTCCAAATAGCCACTTTAAAAAAAAAATCTCTAATCTATTTAATTTCAGAAATAATTCCAGACCTGAACAATAACGGGCAAAGGTTATGGACCAATGGAAAAATAAAGGGAAGGCTTTATTTTGTGTGTGTGTCTACATATGTGTCTTTTTTGTTTTGTCTGTTTTAATTGTTGCATGTAAAAGTGGTTTCTGCTTTTGTCTAATCAGTTATATTATGGGTAGTATTTTACCACTCGTTAGAGGATGTTCTAGGATTTCTAGGTTTGGAATGCAAATTTTTGCACTTCTATAGAAAAAGTTGCTGGTACGGTTGGAAAACTTTAAGTACTCTTTTGCTCCCGGCACCTTTCAATTCAAATACCATTCACTTTCTGCATCTCATATTGAGTCTCCTCTGAATTCAGTGGTAGGGGGTGCTGTGGGTTGGAGTTGTCCATCTGGTTAAACAATTTCTCTGAAAAAAACAGACCTTTCATTATTCAGTTGATGGGACTGATTGTATAAATGGTTGCAAAGCTCTAGGGGAGAGACCAGTTTCCCCAGTTAGTACATTCAGAAAATACTTTTTTGGGTACAGAAAAAGAGAGCTCTGGATATGTGAAGAATTTATGATGTTGAGCTCTGTACTCAACCTCATAAATGATAACAATCCCTTTGGAAACTTATTCTTAAAAGTATGTATTTATGTAAGATTGGCATAGCTGTTTTTAAAAGCTTCAGTGCTGTGCTTATAAATGGTACATGTGCTTGAAGTGATACTTGCATGATCCTCATTATACAGATCATAAAATCAGTGGGATTAGCTTCACATTTGGAATCATACATTGATCCTGCATCCATAGAGCATTTGATTTGGCCGTGATATCCCTTCCCTGCTCCCATCTTGGCCCAGTTCCTGCTTTTTCTCCTTACCCTTCTGCTGGAAGATACAAGTAAACTATCCTTCTCT